GTCTCAATCAGAGATTTGTACATACACAAATAGTTACATAAGAGAATTGGGGAGAGATACAGACTAAGGATTATGCCTTTACTAAAATGAGACAAATGATTTTTAAAAATCACTATCTTTCACTACCTCTGATTCATGGTTACACTTCGTTCAATGAGGGTTTTATACTTTCCCTCCTAACCTAGCTTTGAAATGTTATCTTGGCATCTACTCAAACGAAATGGGGAGAGGGAAGTGGTCCCAAACACACTCAACGTGGAATCCAAAAGTTAAAGAAGCAAAGCTACTTGCTCATATGCTCTGTGAAAGTCACTTGCAAAGACCAGACAGCTTAACATGTCGAGATGACCTCATCACTGTGATCCTATGCCGTGTTATACATTGATCTCTTTTTCTAATGCTAACTTGTCAAACCAAACAACCAATGCACAGACTGGTGGAACATGGATAATGAAACAGGATGGATGAAAAGGTCCAGGTTCTTAGCTCTACGGCCACCAATGCCAGTGAGACTGGCACAGCATTACTTTGCCTAACTAGACCTCAAATTCACAAAATTGGGCTCAGATCAAATGATCATTGAGGGTTGCCTGGCAAGTGATATACATCTAACCTAAGGATGTGAGAGATTCAGATCCTCTTGGGAGTATCCAACTTTATATAAGAGAAAATGACAGGAACCCCTCTACTTACTGGAGGTTGAGAATTATTTGGGGAAATAACCAAAACTGCATCAATTCTGCAATGTCAAATAATAAAGACGATGATCAAATATATGTCCCTTTTCTATTTAATCACTTTTTCAAGAAGAGCTTACTCCTTTCCGTTGGGGTGATCTTCACCCATCTTCCCTCACAGCATGGCCTCTATGAGTAAAAAGATACCTGGGACACACATATGCCATACACGTATTGGCTTGTGTTCAGATGTGTTCCCTCGTCTCTCCATGTGTGAGTTTCACAGGGACCAGTGAAAGTTTTAAGTAAAACCCAATCAGTTAATATCTGGCTCCATACAATACTACATCACACTCAGCATGGTTTGAGGGCCATGCTCTGGCAAGCTAGAGCATTTAGCAGGTTGATTGCAAAAGAGAATACAAATGGAGCTGTGCTGAACCCAAGTCCAGTGTGCCCTTTTCCAGCTCAGTGGCATCACACTAGCGACTCTAACTCTGAACCTCAGTTTCTTTATATGGCCAATGGGAATTAAATACCTTTTGAGAGATTTATTGAGACAATTAAAGGGGACCATGGTGGCAAAGTACTTATATAGCTTCAAATGATAATACTTTATTTAACATGTGTTGCTAGAGTAAAACAATGCTTACTTCCAAATAAATGAAGCACCAGCTTTAATGATTAATGAGACCATATGCATCATGTTAACATACTTTAAATGTCTACCAATGGACTGAAGTGATTTGCGGTCAATGTCCTCTGATAATGAACAAGCAGTTATTATCATCAGAAGGTAGCCAGTGACTGTATTTTTAAATGTAACATATGACAACTATAAACTAAAGTATGTCATGGAATGACTATACCTAGACAAGAGAGCAAACAAGTTCAAGAATAACTGTAGCTCAAATGGATCTTGGGGGCTCTATTTGATCTTTCTAAAGATTATTTCCTCATGCATATGCTTAGGGATATTGATAATAGATATGGATCCTGTGAAAATTAAACAGGACTGTGTATTCAAATGCTACTTTGAGTTTGCCAAGCATCTTCCAAATACCCCTAACTGATTTAAAAGTCTTCAAAATTTTTCTTAATTTTTTCTCACCCATGTTGTTTACAGCTAAAACCACCAGAGGTCAGACTTTCACATAAGTTGCTAAAAGAGACTGCAGTGGGAGGGATTTAAAAAATGAAAAAAGAGCATTTTCTGCTAAGTAGTATAAAATAAACGTTTCAGGAATAAAAAGAAATATACTGGGTACTTGAAAGAAGTCTTGGTAACTAGAACGCTTAACACAAAAATTGTTACTTGGTGCATGTGAGAGGCAGGCAAAAGAAAGATAAGCCAAATTTGTTAAATACGCATTTGTGATATTGGTACAAGATTAATTTATGGTGATACTTATATCTTCAAAATAAGAAATATATATCATGAAGGTCAAGTTTTCAAATAAAGAAGCCGAACCCCGAGTAGATCAAATAGAATCTAGACTTTTTCCTCTGGTAGGATGCAATTCAGAAATGATGCTGAAAAACATGCCTGTCTATTGAACAGCGTATTCTATAACTGGATAGCATTATTGGTCTTCATCTGCAGGTCTGAATAATTTATTTGGTTCCAGCTCTCCCGAACAAATTTAGAGTTACGTTCCTTTAATTGTCTGTTTCTCAGAGAATCTGGAAATTTCTGATCACAGTATTGCCGTGCTGGTAAACATGTAAATGTAATGACTATCCATGGGGGAAAGATACTGAAGAAAAAACTATCATTTGGCCCCTTAAAAATCTCTCCTTGGCCATCAAGCTATATTTCCCCCTTGCGAAGGGTGCAATACTTAGACCTGCCTTCTTGGAACTGGGAAGGGCCTATTGTAGTTCTTACAAGGAATGAGATATGGTTTATAGTCCATAGAAGGTCCCATGTGCATCAGCCTCTAATGCTGTGCCTAGGACAGAGGAAAGGCATCAGTACACATGCTAAGGCTGCTGCACTGTGAGGACAGTTCACGAAGATCCAAGTCAACTAGGATCTCATCCAGAGCTCGCAATCCTTTCGCAAGCTTGCTACCTAGAGACAAGTCCTAAGACAGGACCCTTATCTTACCTTCAAACCAACGTCATCTGACTTGGTGCCTAGGACTCGGTGCCTAGAACTTGGGAAGTATTCAGTACCTTCCAGAATCATGGAACCTCTTCACTGAGAAGGGAACTTAGAGCGTCTCTGGTGCAAAGGCCACCACACTCCACAAGAGGAAACCATATCCTCATCTGTAAGATGTGAGGTTCTGAAACTCCGTGTTCCCGAAACACTCACTCTCTTAGCTCCTCCTTCAAGGTATGCTTACAGTTCTATCCTCCCACATCAGTTTAGTATTTGCCCACAGTTCTCTGTGGGCTCAGGAAGAGAGTTAAGCTTCCAAAATTCAAAACTGTACTTGAATTTATAATGAGAATACTCTACCTTTGCACTAGGTGAAGACATGACTAAAGAAACTCATGGATGCTACTGGTTCTCAATAAACACTATTATAGGTCGAAGTGATAAAATGAAATAAAGTTGTTTACTTTTTTTCTTATAAAGACTTGTATTGTATGATAAATTGATTCAGTGTCTGCAGGTAGACGAGAGTCATCCTGAACTTAAAATTCCCCTGCTTCAACCTCCTGAATGCTGTGGTACTTGGCTGATTTAGCAAAAATTTAAGATTTTTTTACTACATATTGCATGTGGTCTTTGGGAAGCCAGAATTAATGTATGCTTTTCTTAAGCTCATTCTGCAGAATTGTCCCTGTCAATACAATTTCTGTTGTCATCTGGCCTGCAGTATCATGCCTTGGCCTCAACTCAATACCTTTTCAGAAAACCTACACAAAACAATTTATCTCTTTATTGCCATGACACTAATATATTGTTTGTTGTACTACTGTGCCTAAGATGGGGACTGCCAGTAAATAGTCAATGTCTAGTTGAATTGCAAGGGACATAGCTGTTAGATGGGAATGTGTTATGTTTAGGGTATTTAACAGCTTCTTGTATATTCTTATTCTGCTGTGAAAATTGTAGCTTTTCTTCAAGGGGGAAAAAAAACCCTCAGCTAGATTCTCTCAGTTGCACAACTGAGGAAACCTTCAATATCCAGTCTTCAGAACACCACAGGGAAAACATAATTTCCTTGTATTCTGTGAGAAGTCCAGTAATAGATTTAAGTAAATACTATTTCTAACCAAAACTTTCCTCTCTGAACATTTGCCCTTGCATTATTCATTTATTCACCAAGGAAATGCTTTGGAAGCCCCGAGGTCTTACTGTGACTCCCTCCATTTATTTTATGGTATCAAAGGTTAGAAGCTGGATTCCAATCACAGGAGAAAATTAATTCAATGATTAAGAAAAATGCACTTTAAGCAATACACATTTAAATAACTGACAAGCATCGAGACATGTTTCTTTCCTTTCTTTCTTTCTTCTTTTAAATCCTTCTTTTTCCTACTTGAGATTTTAAACAGCTACGATTCTTTCCCCCAGTAGCCTCAGGAAGCATAGCATGAATTACTAATAGGAGAGAACCAATCTGCAGTACAGCGACCACTTTCAGAACAAAAGGGTAAGAGCTGACATAAGGAAAACAGATTTATTTAAAACTGCATGCCCACCACCAAGATTCCCCTGTTCTCCCCAGGCCCCAAGCACAAAAATACCAACAACAACCAGTGCTAGAAGGATATTGGGACCTTAGACCTTGACTCTACTTGCGGGGTGGGGGGAAGCAATATTTTATTCTCTAGCTGAAGGCAGTTGACCTCAGAGGTTCCACTTTCAAATTAAAAAAAAATTCATTTGTAAACTATTCTCGATTTTTAGTTAAAAAATAATACCCACAGGAACTTAGAATCGCATTAATTACAAAATTGTACTCCAGGAAAAAATTATTTTTGACCTTCTAGCTAAATTTCTGTTTAGAATCAGTGTGAGTGAGTGAAGAGCAGAAGGATGGTAGCTCTGGAATGAAGGAAAGTGGTCTAATGGAAAAGGTTGTGAATCCTCACTTCCATCTAAATTCAATAGAAGAGTGTCTCAAGGTCCCCAGAGGATGACATCAGACTTATATTCTAGGATTCCACCCTTTTCCATCTTCTCTAATCTACCACCAAGGGAAGCCTATAGTAAATAACTAGTAGTCCACTGATTTCCAAAATAGGCAGGAAGTCAGAGGAAACTAGGAAGGATGGGAAGAGAAGTCACACAGCAGCTAGGGTGGATTTGAGGTGAGGAAAGAGATCCTATATATTGTATGAAATTTAAGGTTTCTTCCTCACCTTTAGGTCCTGGTGAAATTGTATGTGTGGCACAGACTTCTGCAGCAGATCGACTATCAATATCCAGACCCAGACTCTGAAAGTGCAAAAGAAAGAGCAGCAACAGGATGAATTGGTTGCTTCGAAGCAGAAGTCTAAAGCCATTCATGACTGTGTTTCTTCAACAGAGGGTCTCCAAGACACACGAAATAAACAGCATTATTTTTTTAAAAGTAAAACCTACTACAGAGGAAAAAAAAAAAGAGGTATCTGGAAAGTACATTCCAGAAATGGCTGCAAAGACAAGCAAGAAGACACTCCCTTGGTTGTTTATTTTCTCAGGATCCCAAATGAACCATACATTGTCCAGACTGTTTCTTTTCAAATGACAACAGTTTATTGAAAATTATCTCTAAACTAAACACTCGGATATGCAGGTCAGTGGAAACCTCCCCATAAGCAGAGAGAATAGAGCTGACTGGTACTTAGACCTCCAGCTGGCTACTTAGTTTGCATTGAGTTTAAATATCGCATTCCAGGAGTGTTGGGGAGGTTGTGACCTGAGACTTCTGCACATTTTGTAAACATTATGTGTGGCTTTGAGTTTCTCATAATGTGGTGCTTTTTACTGAATTTGACAGTTGATCACAGATGTTCTTAATATTTTCTATGGCATACCTCTTTCTACTGAGAGCATAAATTACCCTGAGAGTAAGCTCCAAATGAATGAATTTTTCTGGAAGTCAATCTGGCAATAAGTATGAAAGCTATTAAAAATGCATATAATTATGGCCGGGTACTTGCCCTTCTAGCACACTATCTCAAGGAAATAACATAAAATGAAGACGGCTTTATTTGGAAAAATGGGACAAGATAGGAAAGGACATGATTTGTCTATCTCCATAGTAATAGCTTACAAGTTATTGTAGAATACAAATGTGTGAGAATGATGCTTGTAGCAAGTTCTTTACTTACTTGTGGAGAAAGTGTCCAATAATTTTTCTTAAACAGCAGATGATTTTTATATTGACTATATGGATTTAATGCAGACATGTAGACATTATGGTGATTGAGGTCTCTGTATTTCTCTATGTATCTCTTCTCATGTAAGTGTGTGTTTCACTATGAACAGTCTAGATTTGATTGTAATTTACTAGAAAATTAGAATCAATCATTTACATTTACATCATATTCTTTTTAAATTTTGTGTTTCTCTGTCTATCTCCCTCTAACTTCCTTTTCTTTCTCCCTCTTCTATTCTTTCCTTCTCCATCCTCCCTCTTCCTCTCCCTCTTCTTCTCCATCTTCCTCTCTCTCCTCCCTCTCCTTCCTCCCTCTCCCTCCACTCTCTCCCCCCTCTCTCTTTCTCTCTCTCTTGTGTGTACACATGGATACAGGTATGAGCATAAGCAAGCATGTGTGCATGTGGAAGCAAGAAGTCAACATTAGGTATCAAGTGCTCTCTACCTTACTTTTGAGATAATGTTTTACTGTACCTAAAACTGGTCAATTTGGCTATGGTAGGCAGCTAGGAAGCTCCTAGGTCCCACTATTTTCACAACTGAGTACCTGGGCTTACAGGTGATGAGATGCCACTGTTCCCAGCATTTGTTTTTACAGGGGTGTTCGGTGTCCAACCCAAGTACTCATGCTTTTATGGAAAGCATTTAGACCAACTGATTTATCTCCACAGGTTCTTAGATCCTTTATTACTGAAGTATTATATTGACATGTGTACTAACTAAAGATGGATAAAAGGCGTTTTGAATCCATTCCTCAGTTTGGGAATGAAAGTCCTTACAGGTATGACTGAGAGCTAGTCCTTAAGAGACACCGTTACAAGTAATAGCCAACCTAAAAAAAGAAAAAAAAAAGCTGTGTGTATGCCAGTGCTGAAATAACAAAATACCCAAAATTAGGTGCTTAAGCAACAGAAATTTGTACTGAAGTGTTTTCTTGGTGAGAGAGGAACAATTCCTCACAGGAACAACAGTAACGGGTGAGTGAACTGTTCATGTTATGAAATGCAGAGAAGAGGAAGGAAGGAAACTGACATTGATGGAAGTCATTGTGTCTTATATACAATCATATATTATATTGTATGTCATTATATTGTATGTATATACAAGAGATGAATGAGATCTCACTACTACCTCATTTCAGCCACAGATCCACACTGTAGAATAACTAGTAAGCCACCCATTCTGTAGATAAAGCAGATGGTGCCCAGAAAAGCTAAGCATTTTGTCTGAAGGCAACCACTGAAAAAGACACACACACACACACACACACACACACACTTACACACAATCGAAGAAACATTATTTCCAAAACTTCTTGCTCTTAAAATACAATTTGGTTTCTACAAAGGTGAGTATTCTCAAGTTTTGAGCATGCACTGATTTTCATAGTTACTTAGGATGTCCAGAGTGGGAGCACTTATCAGGATGACAGTGACAGAAAGATAGGGAGGACAATCTCAACAACGCTAGAAGCTTCAAATTCCACATCTGTTACTAGCAGATACCTGACAGAGAAAAATGGCTCAATTTCTATTGCTGTGCAGCACATAAAGTGAGCTTTGACTTTATATCCAATGCTCTTTGAAAACTGATGCCCTTTAAATTATTTAGCCCAATCTGAATCTATTTCATTTCTTTTGTTTCTTTTCAAGGATCCCCAGGAGCACAGTGAGAGCAGACTTGTTACATTTTTGCATAGGGGTGCACTGGTTAGCAATCTGAAGGTAAGGTCAGTCCTTAGCATCCTTAGTAGCTTATTTCTTCTATCTCCAATATCTACCTTTTAATAAACAGTGCATAAAACATCTTTCTATTTATAGCAATAAAGTTGTTACATAAAATTTAAGTTGTTACACATTATTCAAATATTTTACAAATAAAGCTGTCTCAAACCAATAGAGTAGTAGAGGCACTTTAGACCTTATTGATGTTATCAATATGAATAACACTGTATTCTGCATATTTATCATCTTTGTAGCCTAGTCTGCGTCCACTCCTTTTGATTCTTAAGGAAGGCAAATGCATGTGGCTTGTAAATTTATTCAATGTTACAGATCATAGATAAAGAGAAACAACTTAAGATAGTGTCATATTATACTCATCCCTTTTGTAACATTTGTTTTTAGGTTTGATTATTTTTATATTTTGTCTTGAAAACATTTTCTTTTTTTTCGGATAAGCATGGAAGCTTATAAATATGATATTCAAAGAAGACATTCAAATATCAGACCTTTAAACTAAAAGATGTATCCCAAATATTAGCTAAAAAGATTGATCTTAAAATTACTTCGTGGCTTCAATTTGGAAGGCTTGAAAACATATTATTCCTACTAAGTGAATCTGGTAAAGTATTACTTTTTTTAATCTTTCCATAGTTTTATGTGTGTGTGTTTGTTTGTTCACGTGTGTGTCCAATATCTTCTCAACTACACAAAAATGAAACATTTATCTTTCAACAGTTTTTAATCAGGACAGTGCCAATATGATTATGAATCTACTTGGTAGTATTCAGTGACAGTTCAAAAGTATTATTTTCTATTAAATTTAACACAAATTTCCTAGAGTTTAATTCTGCAATGAAAATGAAACAAACACTTTAGCCTGGCATAATGGCACACATCTTTAATTCTAGCACATGGGAGTCAGAATCAGGGAGATCTCTGTGCGTTTAGGCCAGACTAACTAAAAACCAAAATTTTAATAATTTAATTTATAATAATTCCCTGAGATTTCTTCAGAGTTTAAATATTTAGCAATTATAAGGTTTTACAGTGAGTCAGATATGATAAGCTGTGCTATTATTTGTCACACCTTTGAAGACACAGTGATTCATTTAATTGTCAGTCATACAAAATTCGAATAATATTCAATGCAATCCCCATCAAAATTCCAACACAATTCTTAACAGAAATAGAGGAACTCTCAAATTCATCTGGAATAACAACAACAACAACAACAACAACAACAACAACAACAACAACCACAGGATAGTGAAAATAATTCTCAACAATAAAAGAACTTCTGGACGTTGAAATGCCCAAGATGCAACTCACAGGCCACATGAAGCCCATAAAGAAGGAAGACCAAGTGGGGGTGATTCGATCCTTCTTAGAAGGAGCAACAAAATACTCAAGGGAGCAAATATGGAGACAAAGTGAGGGACAGAAACTGAAGGAGGGGCCGTTTCAAGACCACTCCACCTGAGTATCTATCCCATGTGCAATCACCAAAGGTAGAGGCTGATGTGGAAGTCAGGAAGTGCATGCTGATAAGAGCCTGATATGGATATCTCCTCAGAGGTCTTCAAGAGTCTGACATACTCAGAGGCAGATGCTCACAACTAGCCATTGAACTGATCATGGGGTTCTCAATAGAGGAGTTAGAGTGAAGACTGAAGGAGAGCTGAAAGGATTTGCGGCACCATGAGGAGAGCAACAATACCAACCAACCACAGCTCCCAGGGTCTAAACCACCAGCCTGGGAGCACTTAGGGAGGGATCCAGCGCTTCAGTTGAATATGTAAGAGCAGAGGGCCCTGCTGGGCATAGGTGGAAGAAGAGAACCTTGACCGCATGAAGGCTGGATGCCCCAGGGGGTGGGAATTTTGAGGGTGGGGAGGTGGGAGTGGGGGTGTAGATAGAGGTTACATCCACAGAGAAGAAGGAGGAGGGGTGAGGGGATTGGGGGTTCCTGGGTGGGTGGGGATGGGGTAAGGGGACAACATAGGAAATGTAAATAAAACATGCAATAATAAAAAAAAAGAACTTCTGGGGGAATCGTCATCCCTGACCTCAAGCTGTACTACAGAGCAATAGTGATAAAAACTGCATGGTATTGGTACAGAGACAGACAGGTAGATCAAGTATAGAATTGAAGACCCAGAAATAAACCCACACACCTATGGTCACTTGATCTTTGTCAGAGGAGCCAAAGCTATTCAGTGGAAAAAAGAAAGCATTTTCAACAAATGGTACTGGTTCAACTGGTGGCCGGCATGTAGAAGAATGCAGTTGATCCATTTTTATCTCCTTGTACAAATCTCAAGTCCAAGTGGATCAAGGACCTCCACATAAAACCAGATACACTGAATCTAATAGCAGAGAAAGTGGGAAAGAGTCTGGAACACATAGACACAGGGGAAATTTTCTCTGAAGTTAC